TACGGTGTGGAGTTTCGTAATGAAATTCGTTAATTATACAGTGGTTTTCGTTAATTACAGAGTGGTATTCATTAGTTATTAAGTGATTTTGTTAATTGATAAGTTTTTAGTGAATTTTTGTAATGGAATTTGTTAACTACATAGTGATTTTCGTTAATTACAGAGTGGTTTTCATTAATTACAGAGTGGATTACGTTAATATTAACGTGGATTATGCTTATTTCATAGTAATTTTTACTTTAATTTCATAGTGGTTTTCGATAAATTTAGTGGTTTTCGATGTGTATGTAGTGGATTTCAATTTTATTTTTAAATATGAACCATTTAAAAAAGTGAAATTGAAAAAGAAAAAAACCATTTTTTTGTTTTAAATTGATATAAAAAAATATTAAAAAAAAAATAAAGCGAAATGGCGTGACATGAAGATAATTGGGGAATTGTGTAGGGAGAAAATAGGGGGATTTGCATAACTACCAAAAAATAATCATGGATGTTTTAAAATAATATAATATGGTAATTTTTAGTATTTAAAAAAAAAAATCCTTAAACCGAAATGGCGTGACAGGCAGATAATTGGGGGATTGTGTGGGAGAGAAAATAGGGGGATTTGCATAACTACCAAAAAAAATAATTGATTTTTTAAAATAATATAATATGGTAATTTTTAGTAATATTAATTAGAGGCATTTTGGATAATTCCGTACATTTGGATTTATAACAAATATCAATTAAAAAAAATGAATTTATCAAGACGTCAAAATTGAACGAGGGGTGTTTGTCATAGAACCCCAATTTTATATTCTAATAACTAATAGAAAAAAAATGGTAAATTACGGCCACCCCAGAGGTGTGGTCAAATTACGAAAAAACCCCTTTTGTTTGGGTAATTACAGCCAACGCCTTCTTTTATATATATTTTACATAAAATTTATGTAATTCACTTATTTACCGAACCAAATCGTATATTTAGTTCGGTAAACGTTATGAAATATTGCCTTATGAAAATTTCGGTTCGGTATTACCGAATTAACATTCACCTCTGAAAGGGTCTCTTCGTAAAATAATACATAGTTGATTGAGGTGGCTGTAATTAGCCGAACAAGAATGGGGTTTTCGTAATTTGACTATAACTCAGGGTGGTAGCCGTAATTTGGCCCAAAGAAATATGAACTTAGATAATAGAATACAGAACTTATAAAATCTGGGGGGTGGGGGAATGTAAAAAGCACAGATTTATAGAATACTATTCCAAAAAGTAATTATAAAAAAAAAAGTTTCATATTAAGTTTCATCCTATTTTACAAGCATGCATATATTGCTTCATATACAAAATGATGACTATGGTATGAATGCAATAAAGGATATATTATTGTCCTAATTTTATTCACTTATATGTAGTTAATTATAAGTGTAATAATGTAGACAAATGTAGGGTTAGGTCCATATATATGTCACGTACAATTAAATTTCGAAATTGATCACTCGTACTAAGTAGTTGGCCAAATTAATTACTACGTACTATTCATGACTTTTTTCGTGTAACTAAAAAACTAAACCAAAGTTACTCGAAAATGTGATATGAATTCGGTTTTGATATGACGAACCAAGTCTGAACACATATTTTTTAATGATGTGTGTTACGAAACTCGACTCACATTCGAGCTCGATCAGAAGAAAATTAAATATGTACGAAAAAAAACCCTACTCGAGATCGACTTTTTGCTTGTGAGACCAAACTCAAACGCAACTTTTAAAGCAAGGGGAAAAAAAAATCAAGCACTTGTGTAAATGTGCGTTCGTCTCGACTCTATTCGCTTACACACCCTATTCCGCATAAATAAACCTCTTTGAGCTCGATCAACTCTATCGATTATCAAAACAAACTCAAATATAATTTCTAAAGTTAGCTCATAAGAAAATAAAACAAACATACGTTCGTCTCGACTCGATCCGTACAAATTGCACACATTTTGTTTGAATTCAGTTTGCTAATATAACGAACCAAATGTGAACACACATTTTCATTTCTTCGATAAATTTTGAAACTCAGCTCCGGTGGGTCCCGATTATTGATAATTTTATTTAATTAAATTTGTATTAAAAATAAACACGTACACTCGAGCTCAACTCTATTGCTTATCGAACCAAACTCAAATATAATTCAAAAAATTTAAAACTCACGTGAATTGCATGCCCCTCCTCCCCTTTATAAATCCCTCAAATCTTATAACAAACTTCAAAAAAAAAAAGAAATAAGAAAATGGCTAAACTACTATTAGCCAATCAAATCCTTGTTATAATCTTCTTGATTGTTGCTTCGCAACAATGGCAGCATGCCGAATCACATAAGCACACGTGGCAGGAGGCCTTCAAAGTCCTCGGCATAGCATGGAACCGCGACGGAACCCTAAACAGGACCATCCAGATTCCGATGGTGGACCCCACCCCGTACGAGGATTCCGCCACCCCATCTCCGACGGTCCTCTCCCAGGACATCCAGCTCAGCTCCAAGAGCAAAGCCACCGTCCGCCTCTATGTGCCGGCGAACCCGCCAAAGAACAAGACGCTGCCTCTCGTCGTCTACCTCCACGGCGGCGACTTCGTCCTCTTCAGCGCCTCCACCATCATCTTCCACAACTTCTGCAATGACATCGCCGAGTACTTTCCCGCCGTCGTCGTCTCCGTCGAGTACCGCCTCGCGCCGGAGAACAAACTCCCCGCCGCCTTCGACGACGCCCTCAACGCCATCTTCTGGGTAAAGAACCAGGCTAAGGTACTAAATTAGTTGATGTTCATTTTGGTTTTTGTTGTGTTTTGATTGCATTTTAGTACCTTGTTTTATCATATTGCTCAAACAGTCCTCATATTATTAAAGATTGGCGAAAAAACCCTCTTTAATTATGTTTTTCTGAAACATAAAACCATCTAAATATAGAGTTTCTAGTGTAAGGGTTTTTTTGGCTAATTTTTAATAGTACGAGGACTTCACTGACAATTAGAATAAATACAAAGGTATTGAATGCTATTAGGTGTAGAAATTGGAACGAAATCCGATTTCCTCCAATTCCGGCTTTTCTCCAATTTTCTTTTAATGAAAATCGGAATATATATTAGATTTCACCTTTTGATCCGATTTTAATTTTTGAAACCTATACTTGTAATATCAATATTATTGTGCTCCTTAGTCCTTATATTTTAAAGGTGACCAAAAAATTGGAATTTTTCGAATGCCGCGGATAACAATTAAAAAAAAATCAGTTTTTGCCTTTTGGAACGACTTTTTTCATTATAATTTCTATTTTTTTTTGATTTTTTTAGTGGAATTGAAACTAGTTTTTCACTTAAAAAAAACTATTGAATTTTCCTAATTAAGTGCTTCTTTTGTTCCGTCCGGTTTAATTTCCATGCATAAATACAATTATCTTTATTTAATTTCAGTTAATCTATAAATTAATACAAATGCGCGCGTCTAACAAAATTTTATCAATTTAGCGAAGTATTAAATTATTGAACTAATAATTTAATATGTTTTTACCGAGTCGAGAGTAGAAGAAAATTATTAATTTATCAACATATATTAAAAACAGGGAGTAGGGGGGCGGGACCCATGGATGGAGTTCGCCGACTTCTCAAGAGTCTTCATCCTCGGCAGCAGCGCGGGCGCCAACATCGCGTACCACGTGGCACTCCGGGCACTCGATTTCGATCTCCGGCCACTCAAAATCAAAGGCCTCCTCATGAACCAAGCCTACTTCGGCGGCGTGCAGCGAACCCAATCGGAGATCCTCCTGAAAGAAGATCCCTACGTGCCACTTTACGTAAACGACGTTCTCTGGTCGTTAGCTCTGCCGTTCAACTTTAACCGGGACCACAGGTTCTGCAACCCGATCTCCGGCGGGACTTACCGCGGCCGGGTTTACCGGCTGCCGAAGGTGTACATCAAGGGCGACTTCGGCGACCCGTTAGTTGATAGATCGATTCTGTTGGGGATGTTCTTGCAGTCTTGTAAGGTGCCGGTTTATCACCGGTTCAACACCGGCGGGTTTCACGGGATCGAGCTGCAGAATAAGACGGCGGCGCAGCAACTGTATCATGATATGAGGGGGTTTATTGATGATGTTCATACCAATTTGAACTCTGAGGATCTTTCTAGTCTTCATGCTTCTTACTAAGCGACGACGATGGCGGCGGCGGAAAATCGACTGTCGGAGTTGGTTAATAAAGTTGTCTTGTGTGAGATCGGTTTCGGTTTCGGGTTTTTTTTTTTTTTTTTTTTGGGGTCCTTTGTACTTGGAGTTCATGATTAATAAGTAATAAAATATATTTATGATGAATAATTATACTGGAGTAAATTACTGTTACCGCTGAGGTAAGATTAAATTATGAAAAAAGTACCTCGTGTTTGGGTAATTACAATTATCTCCTTCAATTATGAACTTTTTTTTATGTCTACACTTATGATGTTAAATTCAACGTAATCTTCTAGATTGCGTGGAATGTTCTCTAGTTTGTACTCGTTTTGTGTAAAAATGCAGTTTCTGATGCACCACAATCCGATATTTATAAGCCAAGAGACGCATCTTATGATCGATCATCTTGCTACAAATATGGGTCTCAATTGGGGTAAATCGGACACAAACTAGATAATATTCCATACAATTTAAAAGATTTTACTAATTTGATATCACAAGGGTGGGACGTGTAAGGAAATTTATAGCTGAGGGGTGGTTGTAACTACTCAAACACAAGAATTTTTTTCGTAATTTGACCTTACTTTAAGGATGACCGTAATTTACCCTTTCAATAATGAAAATATATTTTTTTGTCAATGACACTTGTTTAGTGACGATAATTATCATTCCAAACACGTGGCCATGTTAGACATGTTTTGAATCCTCCTGACTTCACCGTCAACCAATCAATTTCGAAATTAAATATTCGATCGACGACCATTAACCAATCCCAAAAGTTGGACTGGCAATAATTTTGAACATTGAGCAAAATTCGTCTGTCATATGTTCGATTTTTTAAGTCGGTAATCGACCGATCCTACCCAGTACCGGACATAATTATACCAAAAGAAGCCCTTTTTTTTAAATCCAAATTGTTGTTGAATTCCAAATTTTAAATTTATTTTATTTAACAAAGATTAGCCCAATAAAGAGTAGACGAGCCCAATAAATATTAGCCCAATAAAGTGAACAAATTATTGGCGTTAGTGTCATAGTTTAACATGTACGGATTCACACATATATATATATATATGCAAATACAATTAAGAAAAAGTTAATAAAAAAATAGTTTATGTTGAATATATTATTAAAAAAATAATGAGCCTCCTATCAAGATATGTGCAGAAGAACACGCCATGCCGGAGCGACGTCGTCTCGTTCAATCCCCAATTCTTGAGGGTTTTCGAATCTTTAATCCCGGCCGTCGAAATTAGGGCTAAACAGGAACAATTATTTACATTGTTGGAGAATCTAATCACACAGGAATTGCCACGTGCTCGATTGTTCATGTACGGATCATGTGCCAACACATTTAGCCTGTTTGAAAGCGACATCGATATTTGTCTCCACTTGGGGGACAACAACGTTGACAAGTCCCATGTTTTATTAGGGTTGGCTGATTTATTTCGCATCCAACATTTTAAGGATGTTCAGGTATCAATTTTTCTTGTTCCATATTATCTTCTTATTATTAATTTCATCTGGTTCTTTGTAATTGTTTAATTATACGTGGCCTGATTTTAGGAATATTCTTTTTTTAGACGATAATGCCCTTGTCCTCTAGTTATTACTCCCTCCGTTTCTAAATATGTTGTTCACCTAGGCACGAGTCTTAAGAATCTCGATAAATATGTCTTGATTTTAGAAAAATAGATATAGATAGACCAAAATACCATTGTTTACTGATAAATGCAGAAAAAATGTTGGAGAGTTAATAAGGGTATAATTGAAAAATATGTAATTAATGCAGCATTGGAATTGTAAAGTGACATATAATATGAAACAAAAAAAGTTCTTAAAAGAGACAGATATTGTGGAACAAATGGAGTACTTATTAAGAGATATCAGAATTGAAAATTATATAATTAATGCATTCATATTGAAATTCTAAAGTGACAGATAGTATTTCAGTGGAACTACGTTAATTTATTAATTTTATGATTTTGTTTTTGCAGGCAATTACAAATGCTAGGGTTCCGGTTCTTAAGCTAAAGGATCCAACGACGGGTATTTCATGCGATATATGTGTGAATAATATGTTGGCGGTTGTGAACACGAAGCTGCTCCGGGATTATTCCCAAATCGATGTTAGGGTTCAACAGTTGGTCTTGATTGTGAAGTATTGGGCTAAATCACGAAAAATCAACGAAGCTTATCGAGGAACTCTCTCTAGTTATTCGTAAGTTTCTCTTTTTCGATCTTTTAAATTCTAATCAATTACGACCCCCGACGTTTCTCAATTCCCTAGTATTGTATATAGATATTTACTAGTTTTAGTGCATTATTTGGCTCTCGCAGACACAAAATTCTGACTCTGCCACTGATCATTCGGACATTTTTATATATTATTAATTAACTTGATGATTTTTTAATTTTTTTTCCAGTTATGTTTTGATGTGCATACATTTCTTACAACAACGTTGGCCGGCCATACTCCCGTGCTTGCAGGTTCGAAAACGACGATATACATATATATATATATACACACTTCAATTTCTTGATAATTACAAAAAAAGAAATTATATAGTTAAATTCTTGATTTTCTTGATAATTACAAAAAAAGAAATTACATAATTAAATTCTTGATTCTTACTTATTTATTACATGACTTGACAGAGAATGGGGACTACTTATTCAACAACTGCGGAGGATATCGAGTGCTCGTATTTCGACCGTGTGAAAGAGCTGCGCAATTTCGGGATAAGAAACAGAGAGAATCTATCTCAACTAGTGTGGGCATTTTTCCATTATTGGGCTTATTGTCACGACTATGTAAACGACGTCATATCAGTTCGAACGGGAGATTTATTAAGGTAGTAATAATTAATAAAACGCGATTTTGTGTTTTTTTAATAAAGTAAATGACAGCAAAAATACTAATTAAACTGATTTTTTTTTCCGTGTTCGATTTTTGTAGCAAGAGAGAGAAAGGATGGACGATTAGAGTGGGCAACGATCGACATTTGATGTGCATCGAAGATCCATTGACG